AGCGTGCTACAACAGATACATTTGCTCATGTGATGTAGTGGTAAGTCTAAGGACAGACATTTTAACACTAGAGGAGCAGGATCAAAAGTTGTGCCACAGCCAAAGAGAAAAAAGGTGTATGCTTTTATTAGGCTCAATTGGAATCCTTTATGGGATGGGCCCGAGTTTCCTTATCTCTTCTATATCAGTGAATACATGGTCACATATGTGAGCATTAAACTGCATTTAGAATGGACCCCAGAAGCTTGGGTCAAGGATATTTAACTTTAATTAAAGAGGTCAGCAGTGAAGTAGACAAGCAAACAAGTCAACCATCTTTCCTTGTATCTCCAGCCAATAGAACCCTTGCTATCATTGAATGGTGACTTATGTGCAAACTTGAAACTCTGGAAAAAAAAAACCCTTGTGGGGTGTACAGTTTGGTGACATTTGATAAGAAACAGTTCTAGAAGGCTGTGTCTGGCTTTCTAAGTGTTATAATTGCCAAATACAGCAATACGAAAATGCCGCAATGTTGTGTAAGGTATTGTTGCGTACAGCTTTGCTTCCCACACCTTTTCTTGATTTTAAATGACAGGCTATTTGTGCTTATGAAGGAATACAGACATAGCCTTTATTTATCTACATAATTACACCATTTTATATAGTATCTGTGCAGTGTTGTATACTGATACAGTTGCTATAATAATAATAGCAGCAAAGCATCCATTTGAACTATTGTGCTATGAAATGTTTTTGTTTCTGCAGCCGACCCCAGTTTTAAGAATCTCATTATATATAATGTCCATTCATATTAGCTTGTTACTTTTCTTTGTTGATCATAGAGACAAGCTAACAGCCAGAGGTATTAAAGGTCTGTCAGCTGCAGAGCCATTCTTCTTGTTCCTTTTTTGACATAGTTTTTTCAGCTGCCAAATTTATTTCTCCAAGATTCACCCCTCAAAAACAACAACAAAAATCACCACCAATGACTTTGTCAGGGAACCTTTAAAATTTTTCCAACAGTGGAACAGAAACAATCATTGCAAAATATTTCAAGACTTTAGGATTGTCATATTATTCACTTCTGGAGAGAACATCTTATTATCATAGTACTCTAAAGTGGTACAGTTTCACATTAAGGAACATGGTGTTTTCATCTTTGATCAAAGAGTTCTACTTTGAAAGTGTCCACATGAGCACACAACTGAAGATTATCACAATCAATCACACAAACAAACACAAACTCAAAGTACACAGGAAGCAATAAGGTCATTGTATTGTCGAAGGCTTTCATGGCCGGAATCCATGGGTTGTTGTATGTTTTTCCGGGCTATATGGCCATGTTCTGGAGGCAATTTTTCTCCTGAACAAAATCTGGCTACCAGTATTAAAAAAACTCAAAAATTACAGCAGAAAAACAACAGAGGGGAAACAAACAGGCACATGAAATCACCCTCAACAAAAGATTCCCCCCAGGCGCTACCAAGCCATTGAATGCAAATCAAGGTGATCAGCTGAAACATCCACAGCTAGCCCCAGCAAACAAAAGTCCTTTGTCACACCCTGGTCATTCCACAGATATATAAACCTAGTTTTTCCTAGTTCCAACAGACCTCATTACTCTGAGGATGCTTGCCATAGATGCAGGCGAAACGTCAGGAGAAAAATTGCCTCCAGAACATGGCCATATAGCCCGGAAAAACCTACAACAACCCAATAAGGTCATTGTTTACTAAATGCTAACTCGTGTTACATATCTGGTATTTAGTTAACAGAAGTATTCAATGCGTGTTCAAAGGGACTGCAATTTTATTGCAGTTTTAATCATAGTAAGCCTAATTGGATGCACAGTACAGTATAGTGGTTTGAGCATTGAACTACTATTCTGGAAATCAGGATTCAAATCTCCACTCAGCCATGGAAGCCCACTGGTGATCTTGAACAAGTCAAATTCTACCAGCCTCAGGGAAGCACAAAGGCAAGCGCCCTCTGGACATTGTCAAGAAAACCCCTAACAAAGCTTAATTGAATTCAATATAATATACTTCTGAATAGATGTATGGAGAATTTATTTATTTATTTATTTACCACACTTGTTCCCTGCTCTTCTCACCCCGAAAGGGGACTCAGAGTGACCTTACAAAGTTCAATACCACATATACATATACATATAGATATACATATAGATAAATAAGCAAATGCATTAAAATCCCAAACAATTAAAGCATCAAACATTAAAACATCAATTAAAATCACACAATCCAAGTCATATTCCAAGGCTGTGCCAGGTCATCATTATGTTATTTTATACCATGGCACTAATCCATACTGCAAAGAATATACAGCACCGAGGAAGGAATTTGCGGGGTGAGGGAAGAGGAGTGTGCATAGTCCACTTGCAGGCCTCCGCAGGTGTGCACCTTTCCCTCCTCTTCCCTCACCTGCATGAAGGCAGAAGGGGGTTGGACTAGATGGCCTAAGGGATATCTTCCAACTCTTTATTAGTATTAATGTTGTTGTTGTTATTGAGGCTGGGTGGCCATCTGTCAGGGGTGCTTTGATTGTACTTTCCCTGTATGAAGACAGAATGAAGGGGGTTGGACTAGATGGCCTTTAGAGCTCCCTTCCAACTCTATTATTATTATTATTATTATTATTATTATTATTATTATTATTATTATTATTCATGTTAATATTAAGGCTGGATGGCCTTCTGTCAGGGGTGCTTTGATTGTGCTTTCCCTCCATGAAGGCAGAATGAAGGGGGTTTGACTAGATGGCCTTTAGAGCTCCCTTCCAACTCTATTATTAATAATAATAATATTATTATTATTCATGTTAATATTAAGGCTGGATGGCCATCTGTCAGGGGTGCTTTGATTGTGCTTTCCTTACATGATGGCAAAATGAAGGGGGTTGGACTAGATGGCCTTTATAGCTCCCTTCCAATCTATTATTAATATTAATATTAAGGCTAGATAGCCATTTGTTGAAAGTGCTTTGATTGTGCTTTCCCTGCAAGAAGGCACAATGAAGGGGGTTGGACTAAATGGCCTTTAGAGGTCCCTCCCAACTTTAGGATTCTGTGAAAGGAATCTTTGTTGACCACAAGCCAATAGTGTGATGCTTCAGCTGAAAAGGGCAATGCCGTTTTAGGCTGCGTCAATAGGACAAGCCTGAGAGAAGGCAAAAGGGAACTGATATGACACTTTACTTCAGCTGATTTTTTAATTGCTTTAAATGAGAATTATTTAATGCAACTATTTATTTTAACTTATTGCCAGCATGATGTAAAGGACTCAGAGTGTAAATGAAATTCAAGGGAGAAAGAGCAACTGTAATGTACAATGTAAGGTTCAATGCCCCTCTCATGGGAACCTGCATGTCATAAGCATTTGAATTAAAATTACCATATTGAATTCAAATCTGATTTTTTTTAATTTAGTCCATTGGAAGAAGGGTGGTCTTATACAACAAGTATATACCAAACTCTATATTTTAACTGGAAAAGTTGGGGGTCATCTTAATATGTCCAGTCGTCTTATACGCCGGAATATACGGTATATGGTGTAGTTGTTAAAACATTGGTCTGTGGTTCTGGAAATCAAACCCCCACTTGGCAGTCAAAATCCACTGGATTATATTTGGCAGGTCTCTCAGCCTCAGAAGGAGATAAACCAAACCTTTGCCTTTAGGTCACAATAAATTAGAAATGAAAGGCATGCAACTACCACAACAGCTAGTGAGCAAGGCTTATTTGCTTTTCCCTTTTCTTCATATTTTGCTGTCCTTGCTTACTCTTTAAGGTATCTTAGAGGCAATCACTGTTTAACTAGCTTGTGTAGGCAGCAAATTTAGTAGGATCGGGGGGGGGGGGGGACACAGAATCCCAGCTAAAGTTTGATTGCATTGTTTACTGCAGACAGCCTGTTGCAACCTGCTACTAAAATGACTTGATGACCCATGTGGTGCTTTTCCTGCATGGCAGGGGGTTGGACTAGATGGTGCATGTAGTCTCTTTCAACTCTATTATTCTATGATTCTATGTCATGTAGAGAGAGCAGCAACATTTTTCCCTATGTGCAAGCCACCAGTATCAAATCTTTGCCTGCTTGCTGTTTCTCTTGTTTTTCTGTTTTGGAAACTTCCCAGTGTGCAGCCCTCTCATCTGTGTATAATGTGGCTAACTTGTGACAAAAAAATGATTTTTATGTTTTGCATCTTAACTATATTCAGACGTTCATAGGTGGGGTCAGTTTTCCACATGAAAAGGGAGCAAGTTTATAAATCAATATACTAAATTAGATACAGGAAAATAACTTGAAGAAAGTTTCCAGGTAGTACACAGATGTAAATAATAATTTTTAAAACCTGGTGTAGTTTGTGTAGTTTTTAAGGTAAATGATAGTATCTAACATCATTGCATGGTGATAAACATCAAAACACCAGGCGTCCCCTAGGCATTGTCCTTGCAGACAGCCAATTCTCTCACACCTGAAGCGACTTGCAGTTTCTCAAGTCACTCCTGACACAACAAAAATAAATAAATCATTGCATTACTCCAGCATACAATTTCATTGTTAATTGCTGTGGCAGATCTGGAATCCAAAGTTTGCCAAATTGTAAATTAAACAAGAACAGATTTAGTTTAGGGGAACATGCATTACCAGATATATTAACAATTATACATGGTATATAGGTCCGCAAAATGTTAGTCATTCTCATGGTTTACCAAAATACTCAGCACATATTCAAGTTGCCCAGAAAAAAGAGGTTGTTGTAAAATTGTAGTTTTTTCCTTTGTGTTTTGTTTTCCCAACACGGTGTCATTTTGTCTTCTGCAATATTTGGAAAACCTGTTCTGTGTAAAATAAAGTATATAATTCTCTCTTTCAGCTATGGCGTAACACTTTTAGAAATTCCAAGTTAAACCTGTTATGTGGAATAAGATGTGATTCTTTCTTTCTTTACTACTACTGAAATGTTCTGAATAATTGCCTATATTTTTTGCTTCACAGCTCTAAGGGACAACAGGATTGAGCTTCTTCGAGCTTCATGGCACGAACTGACCATCAGAGTCACTGATGTGTCACTGTCCGATGAAGGGCAGTACACCTGCTCTTTATTTACGATGCCTGTCAAGACGTCCAAGGCTTTCCTCACTGTTCTAGGTAAGCATAATGGGCTGAAAATATGAAAGCATGACAGTCAGCAATATGACTGATATGGCTTCTTAAGGATTGTGCAAAGTATGGCTGCATTTGTCCAGGATTTTAAAACATATTTAGCAACTATAAGGTTTTCATTGGTTCACATACTCTCCCTTTCTCTCTCATCTCGTGGGGAGGAAAGATTTCTCATCCATTTCTGTCCTAATCAAAGTTTATAGTATTAAGTTCAAGTATCTGCATTGTGGTTGAAACTGCTTAAATATTTTAAAACCAAGTGTTTTTTCCCCCAGTTAAATATATAGTTCAACTTGTAGGCAGGGGCGGCTCAACCCATTACGCAAAGTAAGCATTTGCAGTATAGTTGATTTTGCCCAGGGGTGCTCTTGAGGCACTCTTGGGGGAAAATAGACCTTGACATATGCGAGTTGTAGTTACTGGGATGTACAGTTCACCTACAATCAAAGAGCATTCTGAACTCCACCAATGATGGACTTGAACCAAATATGGCACAAAGAACTCCCACGACGAACAGAAAATATATATCAGTGATTGGTTGGGGGGGGGGGAGGGCAAAATACTGTTTGCTTGCCATTGAAAATTACCTAGGGCCGCCTCTGACTGTAGGTTGTGTTAGAGCATGAAATGATGTCTGAGGGATTGTGGGCATTGTAAAAAAAAAAACATTTTGGAGGTCTAATTTTGCTGGCTTTAGACAAGATAGATTTGGTGTTTATTTAATCATAAATGGAAGTATAATATTTAAGATATCTTCTTGCAGAACCCCTGAAAAATGGAGGGAATGTGATGTTGCTGTGGTGAAAACAAAGATTGTTCCTGTAATGCAAATTCGCATAGCAATTATTGATATTTACAGAATAAGCAAAAAGTATATTTGTTGATTGGTACATCTTTCATTATTCTGAACAATATGTATGCAGTCAATGTATGAACATCCATGATAGGTCACTGTTTTCTAGAATATGAAAAGTTGTGATACATGTTAGACCTCCAGCACTTTAGGGGCCTCACTAAAGCTCAAACATTAAATGTGGTGTGTTTTATAATCTGACTAGCTTGGGGACCCGGTGGTGCCTGGTTATTTGAGGAAGAAATTGTTTGATTTTTGATGTTTGGTAATATCAGTTTGATTATGTATAACACTATTTATTAGTAAAAAGCCAGTCTTTCCTTTCGGTTTTGTTTTTTTTAGAATGTACCCAATAGAATATGCATAAGGATGTGGGTAAACTACAATTCCCAGAATTGTAGGTCAATCCTTCCCAAACCCTGCCATTATTCAGAGTTGGACATGTTGGGTCTGTGTGCCAAGTGTGGTCCAGATCCGATATCAGCTGGGTTCAGTGCTCTCTGGATAAGGGTGAACCACAACTCCCAGATTCCCAGAACAATCACCCACAAACCCAGCCAATATGCACAGTTGGCCATGTTGGGTCTGTATACCAAGTTTGGTCCAGATCTGTCGTTGGCTGGGTTCATAGTGCTCTCTGGATGTAGATGAACTACTAGTCCTATAAATCAAGGTCAATTTCCCTCAAACCTGGTCATGGGGGTTCTGCATGCCAAATGTGATCCAGGTCCATTATCAAAGGGGGTCACAATGCTGTGCCTTGATCCAGGGTGAACTACAACTTCTATCCTGTTGAGTCAGTCCCCCAAACCCCTCCAGTCTGTTCAATTGATGATCAGTTCCTCTGTGTTTGCTCTGCGCCATAGGAAAGGGTAGGAAAGGATTAAGGGAGAGGCAGTGGGTGGGTTCATGCAAATTCCACACAAGGAACCTTTGGATGCACGTCAAATCTATGATGAAATTCTTCCTGAATGAAAGCATTCCCTGGATGGTGGGCTGTAGTGTTTCGGGAGGACATTGGCAGCATTTGGCGCTACATGTTCATGGTGCTCACTCTAACTTGCAGTGTCAGTTGAGGGCATGCCTTTGGAAGCTACTCAGTCATTGGAACTATAGACTGTTTGTAAAGGCAGGAGGCTGTGTAAGTGGACACCTCCGCCACATACACACATACACATTTTTCACTCGTCACATACACATTTTTCACTTTTATTATGTGCATAGATGACCAAGCAGTTAATCTTTTTGTTGTTTGCACCCACTTGTTTGCAATGTTCTCTATAACACAGATATAAATAAATCATATAGGAAATGAAATGAGAAAGGTACCAAGTCTATTTTGCTCCATTTCATTGTGTCTCATTCTGTATGAGTATAGATTTCCATGGAGACAGTTGTATTCCTTAACTTGTAAATAGTCTGCTATTTTCTATGAAATTCAGAGAACTATCAGAAAGCATGTTTAGGAAAATAGTGGAAACATCAGAATTTATGAAGGGCCTCAAATGTTGTACCCAAGGATGCCAATGACATGAATATAAAATTGCACATAATAGATAGGTAGGTGGGTAGGTGAGTAGATTCTTATGCCACCTTGTTTCTTTTTAAAATGACATCTTTATCCAGCAAGGGCAGTCTGCATATGATGTCAAGCTTCTGTATGTGGATTTCTCTTCTGGATTTCACCTTCCTTGCATGCATTCATTCCTCTCTCTCAACAGAGGGGGAGAGAGGTAGCATGCTGCTCCAGTGTCATGGTGTACCATTAGACTGATGGCATCTGTGGAGAATGGGAGCATGCTTTATAGGCATGTCTCCTCCCAAGTATTCTGGCACTTTCAAAGGTGACACTACTGACCATCTGCTTAAGGATTTTTTTGTACATCCATGTATGTGTAGGCTGCTATTGTGCATTAATATCTTTGAATTTGAGAGATTCCCCCAGGGCTTGGCATATTTCTTTGCCTTTTTCTTATTTGTCCCTACCTACTCCCTCACAGTTTTTTCTCTTCTTTTGACTCTTTGTATATTTTAAGGTGAAAGTTGAATTTAATAAGGCTGACGTAAAATGTTCTGTGTGCCTGTAATATTAAACTTAATCCTGCCAGGGAATTGCTTTTGTGCCTAGGATATGAAATCTGTGCCACTGCTAGTTCCACTGAGACTAGTTTACCACTTTGATGTTAAAGGGGAGGGGGAAATCAACTCGGAACAGAATATTCCAGGATAAAGACAAATGCAGGTCAGTTTTCAATCTGAAGAAGCACATTTAAAGATTATAATAAAGAGCAGGTGGCCTTTAAATTCAATATGCAATATACCCCCAGGAACATCTGTTTTGTTTCTAGTGGAATGATACTGCAATGTTAAAAGGCATATCTCAAGCTCTATTTTTCACTTTTTTTGTAATTTAAGAGCAATTCTTCAATTGGTTGAATAATTGTTCTTAAATTATGCATATATATATATTCCCTGGGGGAATATATATATGAATTTGAAAATTACCTGTAATTCTCAATCATCTTATTGTGAGATCTATGGTGTTGCCTTAGATACCATTACACCTTTTGTGTCTGAATTAGATACTTCCAATATGGATGAATTTCAGACACAGATATAGTAAAATTATAATGTTATTCCTGAAATCTTACCTCCATTTGGCCCTCCCCTGCCTAATGAACAATGTTTTCATATGCATATTTTACCTTTACCACATTGTTGGCATACGTATCATTACCAATGACTCTTGTTTATATATTTCTATTAATTATCATTATTGCCCTCCTTTTTGTTTTACCCTGTCTTTGTTTATCATGTCATGTAATGTTATGACATAAGACCGCCACTACATTCTCTCTCTTTCTGAATTGCAATGATGTAATATCCTTCCTCTTCTCCACTAGTCATTTAATATTTCAGGGAAAAGGGGTTTGCAAAACTGTTGTCAGAAACATATTCAGTATAATAATAATAATAACAAGAAGATTTGGTCTTCCAATTGGGGAACCCGAAGGGCATCTATTTGGGGTTGGACAATAGCAATCTGTCATATTTTGTGTCATCTACTCCAAGGATGAGAAACTGATGCAAAAAGAACTTGAAAATTCTTGTCTCACTCTGTAGGTTCAGTAGAAACAAGTAAGCATAGGACATGATACAGGTTGAGTATCCAGTCCATTATCTGAAACACTTGGGATCAACATTTTGGATTTCAGATTTTTAAAATATATGGACATGATTAGATATCTTGGAGATGGGACCCAAATTTACACACAAAATGTATTTATGTTTCATAGAAACCTTTATACACTTGGTCTAAAAATAATTTTACACAATATGTTTTGATAATTATATGCATAAAATCAAGTTTGGGTACATTGAACAATCAAAAAGCAAGGTGACACTATTTCAGGTATCCATGAGGACAATTTTGGATTTTCTAGTATTTTGGAATTCTAGTTAAGGGATGCTCAACCTGTAGTTAGCTACGGCAAATCTTTGAGCTGTCCAACTGGTGACATTGCGGTTTGTTGACTGGCATGAAGAAACTTCAAGAGTATATTGTAGAAAAATAACCTATTTCTCTCCATGCAGAATGATGAGCAATATTGGCACCGGAATATAAGATGCTAGTGTTCCACTATTCAGGAATAGTCACATGGGATGAAAATTGGAACATTTCAGTCATCTCTTATTATTTAGATGACATTCAGTAAGAATTCTTCAGCACACTGAAGGGAAGATAAATATGGTTTTGTACTCTAATCATATGCTCTCTTCCTTCAGCTCTCCCCACCCCCCTTTCTAGCACTAATACTGTGACTGCTTTATTGATTAACTCAAAACTTCTGGTAATATTTCCCTATCTCTTAATCACTCAAGTTTTCATTTTTGTCACCACAAATGAAACTAGGTTATAAGTAATGATCCTTAAGAAATTTAATCACTGTGGATCACAGTCTAAATAATTCAAAGCATATAGAGATTTTTTAAATTGTATCACAAGAGAAAATACATTAAGAAATAAATATTTGAGAGAAGGTCTACTTAATATGCACTGTATATATAAATGTGCATGTTTGTGTGGATTTCAGGGTAAATATTTGTGAAAGTAATTTGAACCTGCAGAGCAGTGCCCCAAAAACTATTCAGGAAAGCCGTCCCAGAAGGATACCATGAACGATAGCATCAAAAGCCACTGATATGTCCAGGAGAACCAATAAGGACACACTCCCCTTGTCAAGTTCTCTGTGGAGGTCATCCACCAAGGCAACCAAACCTATCTCGGTACCATGATCAGGCCTGAAGCCTGACTGTGATGGGTCCAATTAATTGGTTTTGTCCAAGAATCCCTGGAGCTGAGAAGCAAGCACTAACTCTAGAATCTTGCACACAAAGGAAAGATTTGAAATTGTCCAGAAGTTGTTTAATATTGAGGAATCAAGGGATGTGTTTTTCAGGATTGGTCTTAGTATTACCTGTTTTAGGCATGATGGAATTTGTCCTTGATCCAGCGAGGCATTTGTAATCCTTGTAAACCACTTGGTTAGTCCCCCACTGGCAAGTTTGATAAGCCAAGAAGGGCAAGGATAGAGTAAAAAATAAAGATGGAATGGGAACTCAAATACACTTTGACAAATAGTTCATTAAAGGTTGTGTGTACAGCAACTGTATTTGGGAACTTTGAAAAGTTTTCCCTATTATTGTTAAGACTAACTGAGAGATGCTGTTCAAAAACCTGTTGGCAAAGCCAGGGAACAGCAAAGTGTTTGACTTGATTTGACATGCTCACTCCTGCTCTAAGGTCCACACCTTGTCACCTTACAGATACACCAGTTTCTGAACCTGTTGGCATTTCTACATTTGTTCCAATTGCTTTGTTTATCTTTTGTAGTACACAAAGGTCCCTGAGCTCCAGCTGCACACTGAGTCTAATTTCACGGTCTGCATAGAAATTCACTGTTTCTATGTAGCCCATGAAATTATAATTTATACAGGATATAAATTATGATCATGCTGATTGATGAAAACCACACTGTGGGCTAAACAAAAGACTCAGTGACATCACTGACTTTTAAGTTGATTATTTATTAATTAAATTAGTAAAAATAAAATTGAGTCTAAATCTATGACCTTTCTTTTGAGATATATGTTATATGATGTTAGTGTTTTAAAAGCCTAACTCCAGTCTTCTGGATGTTTGGTTTTAATAAATGCATTTAGCCAAAATATGTATTTTCTGTTTAGCATATGTGTCTTTTGCTGCATAGCATGATTTGGCTTAAAACCCAGAACTTCAACAATTAGTTCAAAATTAAAAGGAAAAGGAAATCTACTTCATGGTTCTATAATTTTCAAGATTATCTGTGTGAGAGAGAGAGAAAGAGAGGAAGTAAGTTTATCTGACAAGATCTAACTGTTAACTGAGTGTACATAGAAAGGAAGTTCTGGCTCAGACCACAGGCCTTTTTAGTCAAGCATTGTATTTCCAAGTTATTCCAGCAACTGATATTAAGAGGCAGATTACCTCTAATGGTAGGAGTAATATAGTGACCATGACTAGTACGTACATATTTTATTATCAGCCTTGATATTCTTCCAAAATGCTTTATCAATAGAAAATGTACCAATAAACAGTGGCATCTTCCCCCTCTGTGCTGTAAAAATGTGTAAAATAATGCATGTCTCACTCCTCCCCCCCCCTTATTTTCTGCTAGGTGTTCCAGAGTCTCCTCAAATTACTGGATTTGTTTCACCAGTTATGGAAGGTGACAGGATGGAGCTTACATGCAAAACGTCTGGTAGTAAGCCAGCCGCCGATATCAGATGGTTCAAGAATGACAAAGAGGTGAAAGGTATTGTTTGGAACTGTAAATTTCATTTATAAGAAACATTTGTTAATTAAACATGCAAATCAGTGGATTTGATTTGCAAAATGGTTACCGTTTCGTGTCTTGGCTTGCAGAGTGATCAAGAAATAAGGAAAAGAATTTCACAAAGCAAATGCTAAGTAACTCAAATACTAGCTATCCTGGTTCTTTGAGGAAGAGAGAACACAGGAGTCTATGGTATGATCTCAAAAGTGCTGTTCTTCCATAATAATACCAAACACAAATTACATAGAGCAAAAGACATAATGTAGTATATTTCTCCACAGTTCATGTGCTATCATGAATTAATGAATAGCACAGGAACTGCTAAGAAACATACCACATTATGTCTTTTGTTCAGTACATGTCCTGCAGACTTTGATCTATTTCTGAATTTTAATGCCTAGGTCATAAAACCATAAAACATAGCTATGTAGCGCAACCATTTCATTCCTTTCTGCTTATTTCTGATACAATCAAGTTGTGGTTCATCTTAGCTGATTTAGCACCACTTCGATAATGAAACAATCTCCTTTTTAAAAAATGTATTAATCCCATGGCTCAAAAAAAACCCTCATTTGTATTGTTGCAAACTGCTATTCATTTAATTTTGAACATCCATTCGTATTGCCATTTGATTCTGATTCTGTCAGGAGCCACTAATCTGAATAGTTATTTTAACTGCTGCTATAATTTTTGGCAGCATCTTTTGAAGAAAGAATCCTAACAGCTGTCTTTTATATATTCTATTATAATATGTTTATGTCAGTTATAATTTTTGTTAGCCACAAAGTTTCTTTAAGTGAAGTTATAAAACTTACACGACAAACTTGAGTAATTTTTTAGCATTCACCAACAGTAAAGTAATGCATAATATTGAAAAACCTAGCACACATGATTGACAAATGACTATAGTAAATATTCAAGGAAGTGTCTTTACTTTTTTGCTAATATTCCTTTCATGCAAACTTTTAAAATCAAAATCAGTGATACTGGGAAATGACAGAAATATCAATACATCCAGCATTAAATTTTCTTTTATTTACTGCTGTCAAACAAAAAGGAAAATAGGATGGAAAAGAAATAATTGTTCCTCTATATAACATTTGAGGAATGATTGTAAAAAAAAGAAAGGAAGGAATAATAAAATTACAATTCTTGCTAACAGGCAAAGTAGAAATTAATATTAGTTTTTATACCACTTTCACTTTTACAAAGTAGGAAAATGACTGATTTCATCGATGTTAACTATTGAGGTGAAATTGGGTAGCCCCTAGCTGCAAAAAAGTATACCGTATTGAATATATATGCAAAACAATTAAAAGTTTAAAGAAGTGATACCTTTTTTTACAGAAATGTAAGTCTTCTGAATCAATATAAAAAGATTCACAATAGCTTGGTCACCCTTTGAAAACTCAGCCAATTCAACACTTTGAACAAGGAATCTAGGACTTACAGCAAACTGGCTGGAAGTATGACCCCTATCATTGTTGTGTCTCAAAACTACATCTGAGATGATAGATGATATACAGTGTGCATTTAGGTAGGGAATGACATTAAGTAAGCCTGGGTTCTGGGTCAACATGCTAACAAATATGTGAGAGCTGCTAGGGAACTCTTATAAAAACAACTCTATAATTTCAAGCATTTCGGCTCAAAGGTGAGTCCGAGGTGTTAGGCCTGCTCCCCGGTGTGCTCGCCGGAGGAAAGTCTAATTTAATTCAGTGAAACCTATTTTGAGTAGAAAACAGTAGAACTGCAGTCTTTGTGCCCAGCAGGTGAACCCCCCAGACACACACACTCCTTTAATTTCATATCTGCTTGTAAAAAAGGAAGTTTCCTGATCATTTATTTACTCCCTTAACAGTTGACTTAATTGGGGTCGTGAGTTGTAGCAGATACTTTGTCCTAAGAGAAGTTCAAACACGATGACAATTGGCCCCATATATTTATTTTGTTCATTCAGATATTATCCATTCATATTTTCCATCCCAATTGATTGCAATTTCTTCAGCTGATAAAATATGGGAGCCAAGAATCTTGAACCTCACCAGAATTTGTCGTAACTGAGAACTGTTTATCAAGTTTACCTAGAAAACTCAAGACAAAGTAGTGATTCACCTAATGTAAGAATACAGTGGTTGATAATTTGTGCTCCCTCCCCTTTGGTTTAATTTTTTAGCGTCATTGGATGGTCAGTATAAATGAAACAAAACAAAGTTGGCTGCAGTTAATTCCCAAATGTATTCTTATGACTTCATCACGTTCATCTAAAAAAACATCTTAGGATGCTTTCACCCTGTCTTCTGGACAGAGCCCCACACTGACCAGCCCACGATGCCATATAACTTCCGGCAGAAGCTCCACCCCATTCAGGGTGAAAGTGTCCCCGGAGGCTTCCCGCACAACATGGGAGGCTTTGCTTCCTCCATGTGATAGGGAAAGCATTGCCAAGAAGGCACTCCACAGAAGGGTGACACTTCCCCTGTGTGATGGGGAAAACATCACCAAGAGGGAGCTGAGTGCGGGGTGACAGATTCTCCCCACTGCCCCTCTCTTTTCTCCTAGAAGCCAGGCAAAGTGGGATGCTTCACCTGGCCTTTGTGATGAGGCCCTTAATTAACAGCTGAAGACTTCTTCAATTGGTATTTCCTCCTCTTTTAAGGTATTAGCTTCTCTTGGAATATCATACAATCTTTTCCACCTTGTGAATGTTTTGCAATAAATGCTTTACTACAGATGCAAAATGTGATGTTCCATAACTTGTCAGTAGCTTATCTAAAGATGTTTGGTAGTACTTCTTATTTGCTTCCATTTTTTCATAGGCAAACAAACTTGTAGTCTATCAGAAAAAGAGTGAACTAGTAAATGCCACTAAAAATAGAAAGACCAAGTCATCAATGACCACAGACAATACTTGCTAAAACATATTATCAGGTTATGTGACTTATGTCACAGCAGTTATGTCTGTGATACATGTGCTATAATGAGCTAAGTACATGAAAATGGGTTTTGTTCCTTTGCAATTTCCACCTGTATTATCCTAATGTTCACATTCAATTCCCATAAGTCACATGTAAGATTTCTGGATTAAAGCTCAGTTCCCAGGGGAGTTACCATTTTACAGTAGATTAACTCAATAAGTCACACTTTTCATTTCCCAGTGGTCAGTTTCTCACAGAATGCTATACAACCTTTCCCACCTATGCAGATAGCTTATAAAAGATGGCTTCATAGAACTTCTCAATACATGGATTCTGTATCCGCTGACTCAGCCACCCACAGCACCAGATTCCCTAGCACCAGATTTCAAAAGAGTTTTCTTCCTTTCAGCTTTCATCATGTCCAGGATTCAAAACCATACATAAGAATTAGAAACATTTTGTCAAGTTTTCTTATGAATTTGATATTTTATTATTTATCTTTACACTGAAGGATATTTTTTAGTTCTTTCCTAGCTGCCCTTCCAAGTCCTAGTCTTCTTCTGAACTATAGGCTCCATTTTGATTAAGGCAAGGTATAAAAATCGTTTTATGTTTATTTAATATTCAGTTGTAACCCTCTTTTTAAATTTTATTTCTTAATTTTCATCTATAGTTTTTCCAGTCTTTGTTATATTTTACAAGTAATATGGTGTTATCTGCATATCTTCCTCCAATTCTCACACTCCTCCAAGTTCAACTTTCTGTATACATTTAAAAATAGCTGAGCGAAATGTATACAACCCTCTTGTCAACCGGACACCATTTTGTTTCTCTATATCCTGTCCCAAAATTGGCCTGTTTTTCATAAAACAAACTTCATATCAAGTCATTCAAATGTTGTGATCTTATAATTTTTATTTAGAATAGTGCATAACTTCCCATGATCTATATAAAATGCATTGGTTGGTTTTTTTCTGAAATTCCTTAGTTCACTGCATTAGGCAAGGTATGTTTGAAAGATACATACCTTGGTCGCCTTAGTTGATGATCTGCGCCGGGAACTGGACAGGGGGAGTGTGTCCCTGTTGGTTCTGCTGGACCTCTCTTCGGCCTTCTATACCGTCGACCACGGTATCCTTCTGGGACGCCTCGCGGGAATGGGTCTTGGGAGTACTGCCTTGCAGTGGCTCCGGTCCTTTCTCAAGGGTTGCTCCCAGAAGGTGTCACTAGGGGACTCCTGCTCGACTCCTCGGCCATTGTACTGTGGAGTCCCGCAGGGCTCAATACTGTCCCCTATGTTGTTTAACATATACATGAAGCCGTTGGGAGAGATCATCCGGAGTTTTGGGGTGCGATGTCATCTGTACGCAGATGATGTCCAACTCTATCACTCATTTCCACCTGCCACTAAGGAGGCTGTTCAGGTCATGAACCGGTGCTTGGCCGCTGTCACGGACTGGATGAGGGACAACAGATTGAAACTAAATCCAGACAAGACAGAGGTACTCCTGGTCAGTCGTAAGACCGAACAGGGTACGGGGTTACAGCCTGTGTCTGGACGGGGTCACACTCCCCCTAAAAGCACAGGTATGCAGTCTGGGAGTTCTCCTGGATTCATCGCTGAGCCTGGAACCCCAGGTTTCAGCAGTGGTCAGGGGAGCATTCGCACAATTAAAACTTGTGCGCCAGCTGCGTCCGTACCTTGGGAGGGCTGACTTGGCCACGGTAGTACACGCTTTGGTTACATCCCGCTTAGATTACTGCAACGCTCTCTACGTGGGGTTGCCTCTGAAGACTGCCCGGAAGCTGCAGCAAGTACAACGCGCGGCAGCCAGATTACTAACGGGTGCTGGGTACAGGGAGCACACCACTCCGCTGTTACTCGAACTCCACTGGCTGCCAATTAGCTTCTGAGCACAATTCAAAGTGCTGGTGTTAACCTATAAAGCCCTAAACGACTCCGGCCCTGTTTACCTCTCCGAACGTATTCTCCCCTACGAACCATCAAGACCACTAAGATCGTCTGGAGGGGCCCTGCTCTCAGTCCCTCCGCCTGCACAAGCACGGCTGGTGGGGACGAGGGACAGGGACTTCTCGATGGTGGCCCCTCGACTTTGGAACTCCCTGCCATTAGAGATCAGAACTGGCCCCCCCTCATGACGTTCAGGAAACTAACAAAGACCTGGTTGTGGAACGCGGCATTTGACAACTGATTTAATTCTTTGCCCACATGAAAGGAGGATGATGAATGTGATTGTGATGGTGTTGGACGATTTGGCTCTTTTAACTGGGATGTTAATATTTTAATGTGTATGGTGCTGATATTTTAATCGTGTAATGAAGTGGCATTGTGTTGTTATTGTATATTTTTTGTATGTTAACACATGTTGTGAACCGGTCCGAATCCCTCTTTGAAGGTGAGAGGGTCGGTATATAAAACCTCAAAATAAATAATAAATAAATAAATTATTGTTATTACTTCTTTTTCTGATTTTTTTTCTATGCATGTGGTAAAAAAACCTTGGTTGTAAAATCTTGAATATTGTTTTGCTTGTTTGAGAAATTAATGCAATGACATAATGAATATTGGTATCAATATTCTTAGAATACATAATTATCATTTACCCTTTGCAAGCCTTTGTTTTCCATTTTTATTTACTGATTTTTTTAACATTTAAAATAATTCTGTTTCATCAATGTTATTTTTGTGCAGAAATTGGTGTTTTCTCTTTAGTTAGGGACTTCTGTCTTAAATTTGCATATGGTACAGACAGTAAACAACAGTTTTCTGTAAAAGAAATATTGTTGCTGTGCAGAAATTTATATTGTATTATATTATACAATTTTTCAAACATTTTCCAATATTATTTCCATCCAGTCATGACAAAATTGCGTAGTTTTATCAAGGTTTCAAAGCTGTTGTTGCTACAGCAAGTCATGGGAGCAAAGTATATGTCTAATGAAGCATTTATACATTTCGCAGTTGGACCTTTGCAATAAAGGTCATGACACCATACTTAATTCGGCTCTAAGAGGCATGAAATCAATGTTTAGATGATTGAAAAGTCCTTGGGGAATAACTTCAAATAAAGTAAAGCAGAGAATTGGATGTAAACTCCAAACTTAAATTAAGTGCAAAATATAAATATATTTTTTTCAGGCCACCAAAAGGCCCTTTTCAGAAATTGCAAACTAAATTCAAACAAATACCTGGATACCAACAATTTCATTCTAAATGTTTTATATAATTACATAATTTCTGCTGATATTAAAGGGAAAAGCAGCTTTTTCTCTTTGTTTAATTCTACAATAAAGTAAAAAAAATATTGGTGGTGAGATGATAAAGTACACTAGTGGAATTAATGTAGATTTGGGAGACTTCCAGACTTTGGCAATGTTGGGGGCTGTTTTCCAGATTGATCAAGTACCATAATTTCATTTTGGTTTTACTTGTTTGTGTTTGTCTTCATTTTTAATAAGTCTACGATTACTAATTAGCAATATTAATAAATCAGTCATGATTACTGTATATTTATTTAGTTTATATATTAAATTAATTATAAACTATTTTTCTATTAGAATAACAATAACTGAGTGTCATAATTGATTCTCTTATTATTGTATCAATAAAGGTTTTTACAAATGTCATTAAATTTACATGAAATGTTGAATCAGCAAAACTATCAGGTTAGAAGCCACTGCCAGTCATCTGAGGACAATTTTGAAAAATTGTGTAGCAACCTGGGGGTCGGGACCTCGGGGGGGGGGTCGTAAGGGGGTGTCAGAGGGGTCACCAAAGATAATCAGAAAACACAGTAATTTCTGTTGGTCATGAGGGTTATGTCTGGGAAGTTTGGCCCAATTCTGTCATTGGTGGAGTTCAGAATGCTCTTTTATTGTAGGAGAACTATAAATCCCAGCAACTAAAACTCCCAAATGTCAAGGTCTATTTTCCCCAAACTCCACACCAGTGTTCCTATTTGGGCATATTGAGTATTCATGCCAAGTTTGGTCCAGATTCATCATTGTTTGAGTCCACAGTGCTCTCTAGATGTAGGTGAACTCCAACTCCCAAACTCAAGGTCAATGCCCACCAAATCCTTCCAGTAAGTTCTGTTGGTTGTAGGAGTTCTGTGTGCCAAGTTTGGTTCAATTCCATCATTGGTGGAGTTCAGAATGCAATTTTATTATAGCTGAACTATAAATCCCAGCAACTACAACTCCCACATGACAAAATCAATCTCCCGCAACCCCACCAGTATTCAAATTTGGCCGTATTGGATATTTGTGCCAAATTTGGTCCAGTGAATGAAAATACATTGTACATATTTACATGACGATTCATAACAGTAGTAAAATTACAGTTATGAAGTCGCAACGAAAATAATGTTATGGTTGGGGGTCAACACAACGTGAGGAAATAGATTAAGGGGTCGCGGCATTAGGAAGGTTGAGAAACACTGCCTTAGATTATATGTGCCACTTGCCTCTCTCTGCAACCCTATACCATTCTAGACAGGTTGGTCCTAATGATATCAGTCAAAAGATATTAGGTAGCTATTTCATTTCTCCATCTTTAACAGTAAAGAATCAAGACTTTGTCAAGATTATTTGGTAGGAGAAATGCTTGAGCATCGCAAATTGATAATTTTGGCTGGGCTCTCTCTCCCCTCTTGCCAATAAAGAATCTATGAAGGAGGGAAGGGATTGCACAATAAATGTCACACCCAAAAGTACCGTGGTGTCCTAGTTTCATTTTGCAAGAGGAAAAAGGAACAGCAGTCTAATTTTGTACGTGTCCAAAGAAACAAATCAGGAATTCCTTATTTATGACATTACAGAGTGAGCATCCCTATTCCTGAATTCCAAAATTCAAAATCTCAAATCCATTGGCCTCCACCACATGAACTGGAATAGGAAGTGCTGTTGGCCCCCACCAAATGTAATGAATGGGGAGTTCAGTTGGGCTTCACTTGGTGCATTAAACATTGCAAGCAGCACTATTGGCCTCCACCATGTGCAATGACATTTGTCTTTATAGAAATTGCCAATGTTTTGCTGTTCAGTATCACAGTGCTTCAGTTTGGCACCTAACAACAAAAAATACATTTTTTGTGTGACAAGCACTCAAACTGGCTTCAAGCCTAACATATCCTAAATAGAGTTGGGTATCCAACTGTGACATAGGGATTTGCAAGAAGGGGGATAGGGACTAAGCAAATGCTGATCTCTTATCTGTAGCACATTTTGGGGGAAATATGAGTTCGGTGACCATCTTCTGGCACCCTTTGGTAAAGGATAGGAATCTAGAATTGCCTCTAAGTATCAAGTAATCAGGGGTAAGAATGGCTGCTATCCTTGAGATTGGTCTCTTGGTATTCACCCTCACTAAGTGGTCATGCAGTTTGAAGTCTGACACATGCTGGTCAGTCTTCCAGTGCAATAATTCAGAGCAATGCAGTTTAAAAGTCTGGTTCCTTTCAGGTGCTATGGTGATCTCACCCAGGGAAGTTGGTCTGGGCATACAATTGCCCTATTGTTCCTGTACCACATTGCTCCCCACCTATTAGATTTTGCATATCATTTAGAAACAATTAAATAGATAACATATTAACCATGTTACCTTGTTTCAACCCATATTTTGTGTGATCTCATTATTCCATCTCTTACTTAGCAAATTATGTGTTTAGACTGAGTTGAATCTCCAAGATATCTCATAATGTTCGTATCAGAACATGTTAGGTTTAGATGCAATTAATAAAAAGAGAGAAGGCACTGAAATGTCATTACCACCCCTTGTACCAAAAATAACATACTGAAATTAGTACCATAGCTTAGTGTTTCATAGTACTCATTTCAGAATGTAACTCATATTCCCATAACAAAGCTTTAAAATCCATTTTATTGTCCCATTTCTGTTTTTAAAATTGATTTGATAAATAATGATAATATTTCTTCTACATCAAACCTCCGTTTTACTATTTGTTTTATAGAAAAAAACATAGGAAGAAAGATTAAGGAAATAGAACCCTGCAATGTATTGGGTGTTTTTATATAACTCTAGAGTTCTAGAATTTTCATTTCTTTTTAATATATTGTTTTCAGGCTTAAGCTTTCAGAAAATGAGTGGATGAAAAAAAAATCCTAATCAGATGATTTAAGAAAAAAGAGATTCTGTTGCTTTAATGGGCTTCACAAGGCGACTATTTGGATTGTACTCTAGTTATATCAGAGATAATGAGGAGCAGAATTTCATTCTGACAGTTCTGCCTTTTGGTTGATATTGAAATTGCTTTTCCCATCTGTGTCTGTGTACATTTGGGAATGACAGCATTGGTAGTTTTGTAAGACAAATAGTGGAATAGAACTTTGTTTGCTTTGAAAGAGTGAGCAAACATGATGAAAGATGCATTTTTCGTTTGCTATTTAAAATGGTTTCAAGTACTGTAGTCTTCTTTTGCCTTTTATTATCCCAAATCATGGCGCTAAAGTATAGCAAACTTTATTTTTTGCAGATGTTAAATATTTAAAAGAAGAGGATGCAAATCGGAAAACATTTACTGTCAGCAGCACAATGAATTTCAAAGCTGATCGCAGCGATGATGGTGCAGTTGTAAGTTGCAGAGTAGATCATGAATCCTTGCACTCCTCGCCACAGATAGCAATGCAAGTTCTAGAAATACACTGTAAGTATATGTACAATGTCTATGAAAGTAAGTTTCGTGTTATGTCTATCAGCACGTTTAATTAGAATGTTGTTATAAATTTGGCTAGTTTGATCAGAAGTACGGTGATCACTATGGTGGTATTGTATGTTGTATTATCTTATCAATGCCTCACCTTTCTCCCAAGGCAGTTACTTATAAAATAAAAATAATACTAGTAAAAAATATGTGAAGGTAAAAACAAAATAAAATCTTTTCAATGGCATTAAACTAGCTGTAAAAAAAAAATCAGGTAAAACATTTCCATTTCAAAGAAAAAGATAAAGGTAGTACAATGTATTAAGAAGCATTCCTTTTGTGTAAAAGTCTCTTCTCAAAGGCCTATTAAAATAGACTGGTATTCTTATGTCAATGAAAAGATAGCAAGGAGGAAGCCAGCTCAGTCTCCATAGGAAAGGAAATCCAGAGCCTAGCTCCCTTGCTCACCCTGCTGTTGTTTCTAACCCTTTGTCTTATTAGGCAGCAGTAATGGTATACACTCTTTTTCTTGTGAAGTGATGGTGACTGGAAATGGCTTACGATATTTGTTAAAACACAATAACTAAAACAATACAGTCGTAAACCTCAAAACAGCAATAAACAAATGATGCAGTTGAAACCTTGTTTTTAAAATATAAATTTAGAAAGAAATAGAAAAGGATAAAGGATGTAAATAAGAGGGCCTTTGACAGCTGGCTAATACAGAGCAGAAAGCCGATCAATCATGCTTTCCTTAGGAGGGTATACTATGGGCTTTGATTCAGTCAGCTACCACAAAGGCATTGTCCTTTCTACTCATCAGGCAAGCCTGGAAGGGTAGTGGGATGGAGAGAAAGCATTCCCCCAAAGATCATAACACTTGGGCAGCTTCATATGAGCAATGTAGGGTTTTATGTAGCCTAGATCTAAGCGTCATATATCATAACTACAAGAAAGGAGATTTCATCTGAACATTAGGAAGAACTTCCTGAGAGCTGTTCAGCAGTGGAACTCTCTGCGACAGAGTGTGGTGGAGGCTCCTTCTTTGGAAGCTTTTAAACAGAGGCTGGATGGCCATCTATCAGGGGTGCTTTGAATGCAATATTCCTGCTTCTAGGCAGGGGGTTGGACTGGATGGCTCATGAGGTCTCTTCCAACTCTATGATTCTCTGATTCTATGATTCTATAACTAGCAGTCTAATTTGTACACAGAAACAAACTGGAAGTCTGTGAAGCCCTTTCAACAAGGGAGCTATATGCTTCTTATCACCAGCCCTAGTAATAATTTTGGACCTTCTGAAGTTTCCAAACAGTTTCTGATGTCATTCCCCCCTATAATGCACTACAGTAATCCAAACAAGATCTTTATCAAGGCATGTATTACAATGACCAGATCTAACATCTCAAGAAGTCTCCAAAGTCGGTGTACTTGTTTTAACTATGCAAACTTAGTCTTGGCCATAGACCCCGTGATTTCAGGTAAAGTACAACTCCTCAAGAATAGGTTGAATCTTTGTTCCCTGGTTTGTCTTCTAACTAATCAGAATCACCTTATCTGGATTAATTTGTATGCCGTCATCGAGTCCATTACTGACAGCAAACATTGGTTTAGTAAAGATTCCTTGGAGCTAGATGGAAAAGAGATATAGAAATAAGGTTCATCAACATTTCAGTGAAACTAACCTCCTAATCTCAGGAGACCTCTCCTAACAGGAATCAACATAATGTGGCTCTTCCTTCTCCTACAGCAATGAGCTGTATCTCCTTCTGTTCTGTCTCTTTCAAATAGACCAAGTTGTTATAGACCAAGCAATGCACATGAATGAAATATTAAGCAACGTACAATGCATTTTATTTGGTAGTAACTCAGATTGCAGTGGGTCCATGCCCTTAGTCACCCAGCTTACATCTTCTTGTAGAAAAGTTGTTAATGTGACTGTTAATTAGTCAGCACCATAGTCAGTACTGGAGGGTTGTCCAGTTCCTAGACAAATGCCTAGGGTAGAGAATCTACAGGAGGCAAATATTTCAGACAGCAGCAGAATCCAAAATTTATCTTTCCTCAGAATGATGTCATGATTTGGTTTCTCCTTGAGTTTCAGAATGTTAGTCTATGATATCACCAATCTCTTTGTTCTCATATATGCCATAAGCATCATTAATTGTACCACAAATTATTGTTAGTACAACAGGCTAAACATTGGAAAATGAAAGCCTTGTCATCACAAATTTCCAAGATTATTTCAATTTTTTTACTGATTTTCTTTTACTTCTGTAAGTTGTCCTAGAAACTTTAGAAAGGAAGAGGTATTGATCTCTAAATTACATGCATACAGCAATAGTTATTCAGGCCGTAGTTAATGGGATATGTAGTCTGGTGCATTTGGGGGACACCTGGATGGTAAATGCTGGCAAGTAATGTTTACTTACATCTTGGAAATATACTTGAAACCCATGTCTGTGATGCATACCAATTATGTCTACAATATCACATTTCAATGGGCTCTGAACAGATTCTCCTGATCATAAATTATACATTGGTGCCTTATTCTCTTCTCTTAAGTGTCTCCCCTAGACCTCCTTCTCATGCTGGGTCATGGACATCCATAGCTGATTAGAACAAGAGGGAGTCTGAAGACAGTGAATAATAACAATGACTCTAAAAAGGCTGGCACAAGGCCAAACAATGAGGGAGGCCGTGGCTCTCTTTCTTGGTAATGGGAATATGGCTTGACTTCAAAGTGAGCTCAGGTGTCTCAGAAGCTCTCATGTAGTCTGCACTGCTTGTGGTACTTTGTTTGATAAAGGAAAGGGAGCTAGCAGAGCATTCACAGTTTCTTCTGTCTTCTCAATTGCCAAGAGCCAAGATAGAGCTAACCCTCTCCTTTGCTGAATATAGTTTACCATTACTTTATATTTGCTGCCTGCTCATTAAGCAATAACTAGCACAGGATTCAATGCCTTGCAAAATACATATGTCTTTAATATTGAATAAATGTGTTAATTGCATCTCAATCTGAAGATTCTGAAATATGACTAGAAAATAATTGCTGTTCTTATTAAGGTGTCCTCCCCCGCCTCCTGTTTCAACAGATAAATGCAGAAAGGTCCATAAAATAGAAGGGATTATGCCATCAATCAACCAACTAACCAATCAAAGAACTAACTAATTACCTTGTATTGTCGAAGGTTTTCATGGCTGGAATCACTAGGTTCTTGTGGTTTTTTTCGGGCTATAGAGCCATGTTCTAGAGGCATTTCTCCTGACGTTTCGCCTGCATCTATGGCAAGCATCCTCAGAGGTTGAGAAGGTCTGTTGGAAGTAGGAAAAATGGGCTGTGGAATGGCTGGGGTGGGGCAAGGAGCTCTTCCCTGCTGCAGTTAGGTGTGAATGTTTAGCTGATCACCTTCATTAGCATTTGAAGGCCTGCCTGAGTCTGGGAAAATCTGTTGCTGGGAGGTGTTAATCTGTGCCTGGTTTTTTCCTCTCTGTTGTTTAGCTGTTATAATTTTTGAGTTTTTTTAATACTGGTAGCCAGATTTTGTTCATTTTCATGGTCTCTTCCTTTCTGTTGAAATTGTCCACATGCTTGTGGATTTCAATGGCTTCTCTGTGTAGTCTGACATGGTGGTTGTTGGTGTGGTCCAGCATTTCTGTTCTCAAATAATATGCTGTGTCCAGGCTGGTTCATCAGGTGCTCTGCTATGGCTGACTTCTCTGGTTGAAGTAGTCTGCAGTGCCTTTCATGTTCCTTGATGCGTGTCTGGGCGCTGCGTTTGGTGGTCCCTATGTAGACTTGTCCACAGCTGCATGGTATACGGTAGACTCCTGCAGAGGTGAGAGGATCCCTCTTGTCCTTTGCTGAACGTAGCATTTGTTGGATTTTCTTGGTGGGTTTGAGCCCTCTCAGCCCGGTCATAGCTAACTTCTACATGGAACACTTTGAAGAACAAGCCCTGGAAACAGCAACCAAAAAGCCCACGATATGGTTCAGATATGTGGATGACACCTTCACCATTTGGAGCCATGGAGAAGAAGAACTCAACAGGTTCTGGACCATCTTAACAGCATCCACCCAAACATCCAGTTCACCATGGAAAAAGAAAATGAAGGAAGACTGCCTTTTCTAGATGTCCTAGTCATCCGCAAACCAGATCAACAATTGGGTCACACCGTCTACAGAAAACCCACAAACACAGATAGATATCTACATAAAAACTCCAACCATCACCCAAGTCAAAAAAGAAGCACCATTAAAGCCTTGGCAGACCGTGCAAAAAGAATCTGCGAACCCCACCTCCTCCAAGATGAACTGAACCACCTCAATTGGGCTCTCCAGGCCAATGGATACTCCACCTCAGACATCAGAAGAGCTGCAAGACCAAGAACAAGCCACGAGAGTAAAGATGAAGATCCACCCAGAGGAAAAGTGTTCCTGCCATACATCAAGGGAACCACTGATCCGCATAGGGAAGCTGATGAGGAAACACAACATACAAACAATCTAAAAACCCACCAAGAAAATCCAACAAATGCTACGTTCAGCAAAGGACAAGAGGGATCCTCTCACCTCTGCAGGAGTCTACCGTATACCATGCAGCTGTGGACAAGTCTACATAGGGACCACCAACCGCAGCGCCCAGACACGCATCAAGGAACATGAAAGGCACTGCAGACTAATTCAATCAGAGAAGTCAGCCATAGTAGAGCACTTGATGAACCAACCTGGACACAGGATATTATTTGAGAACACAGAAATGCTGGACCACTCTAACAACTACCATATCAGACTACACAGAGAAGCCAAGCATGTGGACAATTTCAACTGAAGGGAGGAAACTATGACAATGAACAAAATCTACCAGTATTTAAAAGCTCTAAAATCAGGACAGTAAATAAAGAGCAACATACAGGCACATCTTAACACCTCTCAACAAAAGATTTTCCCAGGCTCAGCCAGGCCTTCAAATGCTAATGAAGGTGGTCAGCTGAAACATTCACA